AGCGAAGAGTCCTCTTTTCGGCGAATTCATTTTCAAAGCTGTACAATCGCAAATATATATATTTATTTTTACAGGGTGATAATAATACTAATAATAAACTTCTGTTATACATGGTGACAGTGAGGTTAAATAAACAAAGGTATTAGAAAAATTTTTTTAAAACAAGGAAAGTTTAATAATCGTTTGATAGTTAATGGCTTAAGTATTCATCGGGTAAGGATGGCTCAGCATGATAAAATAAAATGTTGAAACAGAGATGAAATGTAATCGGAATGGTCGTGGAAATAAAAACAAACCGGTTGGGAGTAGAAGATTTGAAGGGAAGATGGAAGGTGAAGCAGGTGGCTGTAAGGGAACAAGAGTATGAAGAAAGAGAAGAATTTTAATACACTAAGACCATGGTAGAAGAAGAGGTTGTACCAGTCTCTTTTGTACACATAATTCTGTTTTTTCAAAGCGTATGGCTATTGCGTCGGCAATGCAAAGAAGATGCAGTCTAATTGTCTTAGGAAGACTTCTACTTACCTTGTAGATGACTTTGAACGCAGAGTCTGTCTTGATTGGGTGACCTGTGTTCACAAGGTGTTCGATTATAGAACTTCTTATTGAGCCATTGCCTCCTCTTTTTAGCCACGCCGGACAATGTTCTTGAATTCTTTTGGATAAAGTACGCATCGAACGACCTATATACCTAGTTCCACAAGAGCAGGTAAATTGGTAAATGCACAATGAGTTGGTCAGATGCGATAATTTATCTTTCAGATTATTGGTGAACAGTGATCGGCTGGAGAATAATATTCGCAATGTTGCTGCGAAGAATGTTCTCTTTAAAGAATCCGAAATTCTCCTCTTTAAGATATATGCGGCTCTATCACCTTTGAAGTCGATGTTCATGTATAAAATTTTCTTTTCTACTGTAGTTGTTTGTGATCTTGGCATTTTCGGCTTCATGTTCTTATCAATGAATATAGAAGGATATCCGTTTTTGATAAGTATCTCTTTTAAAAGGCTCAATTCTCCCTCTACGACCTCGGGGCTACATATTCTTCGTATTCTTGTGGCGAGAGTTATTATTAATTTTCTTTTTCGGCTGATGGGAACCCAACTGTGGAAATTTGATAGTTGACCATTCCAAATAGGTTTCCTGTAGATAGCTCTTTTTAAAGTACCATCTTGTTTTCTTGTCATATCTACATAAAGGAAGTGAATATTTTGTTTGCTTTCAACTTATAGAAGATCACTTAAGTTACATTTGTTGTCACAAATGATAAAGGTATCATCCACATACCTATTATACAAGTGGAGGTTTTCTATAATTCTTTTGAGTTGGCTGTTTTCTAAACTGACCATGAAGCAATCTGCCAGTAATGGACCAAGAGACATTTAGTAATTGTCACCCATCAATAAAATTCACACTTGAAGTTGAAAGCAAACAAAATATTCACTTCCTTTATGTAGATATGACAAGAAAACAAGATGGTACTTTAAAAAGAGCTATCTACAGGAAACCTATTTGGAATGGTCAACTATCAAATTTCCACAGTTGGGTTCCCATCAGCCGAAAAAGAAAATTAATAATAACTCTCGCCACAAGAATACGAAGAATATGTAGCCCCGAGGTCGTAGAGGGAGAATTGAGCCTTTTAAAAGAGATACTTATCAAAAACGGATATCCTTCTATATTCATTGATAAGAACATGAAGCCGAAAATGCCAAGATCACAAACAACTACAGTAGAAAAGAAAATTTTATACATGAACATCGACTTCAAAGGTGATAGAGCCGCATATATCTTAAAGAGGAGAATTTCGGATTCTTTAAAGAGAACATTCTTCGCAGCAACATTGCGAATATTATTCTCCAGCCGATCACTGTTCACCAATAATCTGAAAGATAAATTATCGCATCTGACCAACTCATTGTGCATTTACCAATTTACCTGCTCTTGTGGAACTAGGTATATAGGTCGTTCGATGCGTACTTTATCCAAAAGAATTCAAGAACATTGTCCGGCGTGGCTAAAAAGAGGAGGCAATGGCTCAATAAGAAGTTCTATAATCGAACACCTTGTGAACACAGGTCACCCAATCAAGACAGACTCTGCGTTCAAAGTCATCTACAAGGTAAGTAGAAGTCTTCCTAAGACAATTAGACTGCATCTTCTTTGCATTGCCGACGCAATAGCCATACGCTTTGAAAAAACAGAATTATGTGTACAAAAGAGACTGGTACAACCTCTTCTTCTACCATGGTCTTAGTGTATTAAAATTCTTCTCTTTCTTCATACTCTTGTTCCCTTACAGCCACCTGCTTCACCTTCCATCTTCCCTTCAAATCTTCTACTCCCAACCGGTTTGTTTTTATTTCCACGACCATTCCGATTACATTTCATCTCTGTTTCAACATTTTATTTTATCATGTATGTATAACAGAAGTTTATTATTAGTATTATTATCACCCTGTAAAAATAAATATATATATTTGCGATTGTGCAGCTTTGAAAATGAATTCGCCGAAAAGAGAACTCTCCGCTGAACTCTGCATTTTATCAGCGTCTTCACGAAACATGACTATATCATCTGCGTATTCTTATTCGATAAGTGGACCTCCTGGTAGGGATCAATGCATGAGAATTTAGTCGACGAGAGCGTTATTTCCACCAGTATGTCTATGATGAAGTTGATCAAAAATGGAGATAGTGGACAGCCTTGACGGATACCACTTGAGGTTGCAAAATCAGATGACCGTTGACCATAAGCTCTGACTCGACTAGTGGTGTTCGAGTAAAAAGCCTTCACAAGGTTTATGTACTTCTGGGGTACGCCTTTCAATGACAGAAACTGTCACAGAATCTCGCGGTCTACAGAGTCAAATGCTGCTTTTAGTTCTAAAAAGACCTCCATTGTCGTTCAGCGATAAGTATGCTTGTGTTCTAGAACCTGACGAATGGTGAATATGTGGTCGATGCAGCCACGACCAGGTCTGAAGCCAGCTTAATTTTCTCGTGTTTGCAGTTCACGAGTCTTAGTGAGGCGACCGATAACTATTGACTCTAGTAATTTAGATGCTATGTTAGTCAAACTAGTCCCATTATTTTTGTCACAGGATGATTTTGACCCTTTCTTATACATTGGGATGATCAGTGATTGTGACCAGTCAGATGGGATTACGTCCAACTCCCAGATTTTAGCTAAAATATTAGTCAACCTAATCTGTAAAATTGGACAACCATCCTCAAAGTCATCTGGATCAGCTGCCCTTCCTCGTTGCAGATTAACTATAGCCTTTTGAAGTTCAGCTAGATTTGGGGGACCTTCTTCAATGTCCCATTCACACTATCTGGGAATGATGGGTATTTGTAGAGTAGCTGAAGGCCAGATAAACTGTTCTCTAAAATGTTCCGCCCGTCGTTCTAAACGTCTGGACTTGGAGTAGATGAGAGTGTCGTCTTTTTCCGAGATAGTCTCACTTACACTTGACTTATTAATTCCAGTTTCTTCTATCAGTCTGAAGAGCTGTCTTGTATTACCTACAGCCCGTCGCCTTTTCCATCTCTATTGCTTTCACTGCCCACCACTGCTCACAGTCGTTCCTTACAGTTTTGGTTAACCTAGATCTGATTTGTTTACGTTCTTCATGGTGTTCAAAACCTGATGGGATGAGTTTACGAGAATCCATCAGTGCAATAGACCTTGAAGAAATCTATTGATTCTTTGTAACCCTATGGTTTAAATCACTAATAGATGTCATTGCTGTTTCCACAGCTGATTGTATATCTTTCCAAGCAACATCTGGGTCAGCCTCGTTTTCAGAACTACCTCAGTTGTTCCTGGAACCTACTTTTGGTTTTCTCGCTACTCAATTCAGTTCTAATGGGTCTTTTTGATGTGGCTTTTTTGCGTCCTGTGAGGCGCAAGCAGATGCGTGCTCGTATTGGAGCATAGCTGGAGTCCAAGCAGGTACTCCAGAATGAGCGACAATCTTCCTTTGACCCTCTCCAACGATGGCAGTTGGCAATATGGTCTATTTGAGTTCATCGTTGGTTTGGTGCAGGCGTCGCCATGTTAGACGATGTCTCTCTTTATACTTATTGCTGTCATGTTGGTTGTCTGAAGGAAACACCTTACTACTGTCACACCTCTGTGCAGTCAGCAGTACGACTTCGCCTTCGGACCTTGGGTTTGTTGCTTTACGTTTTACCGCCCTTCAAACGACCTGTCTGGCATGGTAGGACTTTAAGGAACGGCTGTTCCAGCCAGTATAGCTGGATTGGTTCATCGCGATAGGCAAGCCCGACCACCACGTCAAGGTAGCGACAACAGTTGGGAAGACGGAGTTGGAAAAAATGAGATAAGACTCATTGTACTGTGCCTCCCCCACGGAAATCCGCAAATGAGGAGACACCAGAGTCAAGATGACTGATGCTTCAACTGTCAATTCACTTACATTGGTAGCTTCATCAACTTAAACGATAAAGTGTGATCAGTATGAAAGTCTAAATACCATAGTATTGGTTAATATTAGGCGGTCGTTAGTGTCAAATGATATGTCCCAAAATGCCCTGGTACAGCCGAGAGTGGGGAGAGTCAGCCCTTTCCCTCTCTCACAAAATGCTTGCACACAACCACTACCAGGGAAGTCCTACTCACTGCCTTCTCGCATTACGGGTGTTGTTTACGAAATTGAGAAAACGAAAAGCGAATGTCCGGCGCTTTACTCGGGTTAGTGGACACGGAGAGTCCACCTAGGGGAGTTTGAAACCACTGATTCCAAACTAATGGTGCACATGGGCTCCAGTATCCTGAAGGAACAAATGGCGTATGAACCAATCGTTGGTCACCGGCTACCATGGGACTGCATCTCATGACGTTGCTTCAATGCCTTTGGATTAGGACTTTAGGTTGAAGTCTCCAGCGTGGCCCACTATAAAAACCACCTACTTCGGTTTGGACGCCCGGGCAGTATCCCAGCCTTCACACAAATCGAATTATTTATGTGATGTATATCTATTTGGTGCCTCCTTGCACCAATGATTGTGTTTAAATAAATAAATAAGCGTTAGATGTTAAACTACACTTGATATACGATAGCTAAAAATGAATCCTGATTATTTAATACGAATATGCGGTAAGAGATTCGAAGTGACAACCTATCGAGAGAACCGATGTATATTTATTCCTGGTCCTACGTTGTAACGTCGTAAGAAAATAATAATGGCATTATAAAACTGTTCACATCCTCTTACAAAGGAAGGTTTCACATATTTCCTTTGGGCAACAATCGTCAGTGTTGTCATATTCGTGCTTTATATATATCTTTTTTCTACCTTCCCTCTAACTGGGGTAACTTATTCCATATCGAAATGTGTTCCAAAATCATATACAAAGTTCGATGAAACAATTCCAAATAAGTGCAAATTAAATATTTGTAAACACTTGAAATATTAACGATCTAGAGTTCTGAGGTATTCGAGTATCGGAATCTGAATTATTTCAAGATTGTAGGTGCCTCATGTTTATAACTGCCACATTGCTCGGAACTAAGGTACAGGGCTTCCTGAATACTACCTCCAACCACCTGATACAAAGCTACTCTTGACTGTTGGTTCTTAATATTCATTTGTAAAGATCACTCAACGATTTACTATTACTTCTACATACCAGGTCAACTGGAACTAGCGACCACAGAATGGATCATACCGATCCATTTTATTAGCCAGGTAGGTTTAGTAAGTAGTCCTCATGTTCCGTAAACACAACATATATTTGTTGCTGAGTACACTAAAATTCTAAACAATATATTCAATCTGGTTTGGCTTAAATTTCGAGTGTTTAGAACCCTGATACTCAATTGAAAGTATATTTTTACGAGGCTAGCAATAAGGATTTGTGTAATCGAATAATTAATAAGGGCTTTAGAGTAATAACTTTTAGTACGATTTTCCTTTTTGAAAAATATAATGAAGACAGAAATGTATGTAAATGGATGGAACTACTGTTCATGAGAATCTTTATGCTGACAAGTGATACATACTGGTTGCTTTTAACTTAGAAGTTAGTATCTCAAAGCACGTAAAAAATGTTAACTCGGTGCAACCGCACAACCTAAAAGACGTGTCGAATTTCGGAGGGTTAGATCCGTTCTTCAAAAGTCTAACAGTCTCAAAATATTGTGGAACTTAAATACTTTAATATTCACCTTTTAGAGTTGTCTTTTCAAAATGGAAGTGTTACGTCCCCGAATTCGCTTATTATCATACACAAGCTCGGCCGGAATGTTATTACAGTAGTTATCATCAAGGGTCTTGGAAACTATACGAAGTGAAATGGGTATCATTTTTCATTTAGCTTCAGTGCATGTGTGTTTACACCAAATTATTTAGATTACTTGCTTGCTAGGAGTTGTGTGTTCTATGATTTCTGTATGTCATCTGATATTCACTCCATTCAGAAAGTGTAACTATATTTGATTCTCCTTTTTTGCTTCAGCACCATAAACAAATTCACTATCCTGGCCAACCTTTGTTTTAATTTAGATAAGTATGTTACGTGCTGACAGTCACTTAACAAAATTTAGAATAACGACCAATTTTTCAGACTTGAAGTGCATCAGATCAAGTTGTCACATTCTTCAAAAGTAGGTAGATAAAAAGTCAATAATAGTGAGTGAGCGATAAGAATATAGGTCAAGAATAGAGAGTAAGTTAAAGTAACATAATATTCAAGACTTAAAAGATGCATTCTGAGCTATTTCACGTAGGATCTACTATTGCTGTTTGTTGTAGCCTACCTTATCACTAGTATTTTGATATATTTGCTACAATCTTGGTGTGTAAATTCACGAGAACTGTTTTTAGACTAAAGTTGATTGATGTTATCTGTCGAATTTTGTATTAACAGTCAAAAGAATTTCTGGTCAATGGATTATTGTTCATTGGGACGGTAACATCAGCTGTAAAACAGCTGTTTCCATTTTAGCTGTTATTTTGTGTTCTACACAATTATCAATTAACAGTCATAAATAAACATTTTCAAGGTATTTTTACCTTGTGATGGCTGATGAAAGGTTGAAGGATTCTAAAGCTAATGATGGACAGATAGATGACGATCGTTTAAATGAAGAAGATTACCAGGAACCGGATTGTCGTAGTGAAAACATATCTGAAGATATCACAGATACAGAGATCGAGTGTTTGAAAAAGGAACTGCAATCTGAGATTTCAGAGTTGGAGTGGGAATTCAAACAAGCAAAAGAGTCACTATACAATGAACGTATAATGCAAGTAGAGAATAAATTAAATCAAGCGAAAATGGGTACTGCACCTGAATTTCTTCATGTTTTATCCTTGGTTGAAGAAACGTATAAAATTCGATTACAGGTTTGTTATCTTCACTTTACTAATCATTCCTAAAACTATATCAAGATATGATAACAATCTTCACAAATAAAGACTAATTGGTCAAAGATAGTGAAGAGCTTTTCATTCCATTCTGACAATAATTAGTATTATGTTTTATGAACTCTTTAATGAATTCAAAAATTTGATTGTCCACTGATAATCAATCTTATAAATAGTATATTTTAATACTATAACTAAGTTTATCGACCTCCGCTAATCTTATCGCCTCCCACAAAAGCTATCATATTGCACCAACGAAAGAGATCAACAGATGTTTTGGTTTCGTGTTTGTGTGATCTAACTGCCAATTTCCATTCTCAAATAAACTGATTATTTTCTCACTCATCTAATCTCGCTACATTTTTCAAACGTGATATATTTTTGCATTATATGCAACTGATAGATTAGAGTACACAAAAGTCATTATCATCACTAAGACACATAGTTTGATGATTTTTGTAATAAGCAGTTTTATGCGTATTTCAAAACTTTATGTTATTATTTGATTCTTTTGCATTACATTCTTCATAATCTGTACATAAATAGAGGTGGTTGCAATGAAAATTTGCCATATATGTTTAGTAAGTGTATCTTTCCAACGCTCGACCCACGTGAGAAACGTATTTCCACTTTCGGAGTCATTGTTGGACTCTGGAACGCTGTTAGCAACTACATCACAAGAACTACTTGAAATAGCATGTGAACTCGCGCAGTGGATGTTGAGCTGCTGCGTCAGAGTCTCCAATAATCGCATTTATGCATCGAGTTGTGCTTGCTATTGTTGGAGTATTCATATGAGCTGGTCATCTGATATTGGTATCTTGAATGTATTTTCATGTTATAATTTCTCTTATTACGACCCAGATTCTCTTATTGCTTAGTATTCTTGGATACTACTTCACTCGACAAGCCTCCAAATCAGAACACGGTTGAACAGGAATGAAATTATATTCCAAATGACAAGGGTAGATGGAATTAGGAATTTCAATAAGGAAAACCGTAGTACATTTATAGTTTATAGAGTCTTCTCCAGTTATCCACTAGCGCTGATTAGATAAGAAATAGCCAGTCAGCGTGCCCCAGTATAATCCTACACGGAACGTGCTTTAATTCAATCTATATTCCGCTAACAGCGTAAATTATCCTTGTCGTTTTTCAAGTAGAAAACTATCGTCTGTCCAAAATTACACTGTTTCGAAAGTGTCATGGTTGGGATTTCATTGCTTGTAGGTTGTGTTAATTTGGGATTGGGAACTAACTAAAGTAGTAGTGTAGGTATTCGTTTAAACTAGTCAGAGAATACTTTACGTCACCAAATTTTTGTATCTTACTAGACGTATTTTCGAAATAAAATAGGTCAACAAATGTAGTTGTACATTTAATTTGATCATTCAGAAGGGTAACTATTGTAAGTACCATATATGTCCTTGCATATTTTACAATTGTTATATGTGTATATCCGTGGAATAAGACTGAATCACGTCATCTATGTTCAATCAGATTTTCACATTCTTTTTCAAATATTTCACAGTTTAAGGATAGAAAGAACTTTTTTACGTTTCTAAAGGTGTCTTATTATGTTTTGACAGTATTCCCTAAAACAATCTTTTTAAGGTGGCAAAACATAGAATGCAATTCGCTTTGGAAATAACTAACAAGGAGTTGGATAACGAGTTACAAATCATTCAGTGTGACGTTAATGAGCGATTATTAGCAGCAGAAGAACAAATTCGATTAAGTCTTCAAGAGAGTTTATGTAAACTTCAATATGAACGAGCTGCTCACCAAAGAAAAGCTTCTAAAGGTGAGAGTATCGATCTAATTTACTCTATGGTGTATATATTTTGGAAACAATATTATTTAGCCATTTGTCAAAAAGTACTTAAATTGTATTAAATGAACTGCACACTTCACCCCATTTAGTTTTCTTCTTAAACCCCGTCCAAATTATCATAACTTTTCAACTATTCTCAGCGATTGAAATATAACTAATTCCAACGTTTCGTCCAGCTAACTTGTCTGGACTTCTTCAGGGTAATAATCAAAATCAAAATTATCAAAGAAATATATAGCTTTTAACAATCAGGATTATACTGTGTTAAACCAATCATATTTGGGTGTTGATTTTTTGTAAAATAGGATAAAATGAGTCAGTTGACTACAAATCATGTGATGAATTCAACTACATGGAAATACTTAACTGAGTAACAAATCGTATGTGTGTGAGTGTGTATGTATGTATGCATGTGTGAGAGATTGATATGAAAGAATAAATAAAGTTCAAGTTCAAGGATGAAAAACTTGATAATGAAAGATAGATGTGCATGTCAAAACATAAATTGTATTGTTTAGAAACTCATTCAGTTCTTTCGATAATAATAACGATGCATGTGATATTAAAAAACAGGTTTAAACAAGAGATAGGTTCCAAATTTACTTGTCAAACGGAATTTGCCAGGTAGTTGCCATTTGAATACCATCTTTTCGGTTCAGGCTGTTCTTGTTCGCCCATATATGCAGAGCTTCTGCTGTCAATCTTTCTTTATGGGTGTTAAAACCTTTCTGAAGTATTTTGGTCCCTTCAAAATTAATCTTGTGTCCTGTTTCTAACGCATGTAACGCTATCGCTGACTTATTTTCAAGTTTCTTTAAATCTACCGAGGATTTTGGAACATTTTTCAAGCATTGTTTGTGTTCCTTCAATCTTACATTTAATTGCTTGGATGTTTCTCCAACATAGGTAGCATTACAGTCATGACAGGGAATCTCATACACAATGTTCTGTTGTTCTTCCTTTGCTAACTTGTCCTTAACTTTCACCAATGTCGATCTTAATGTGTTATTTGCTCTAAAATACACTCTTATATCATGTTTGTTTAGAATCCGTTTGATTTCTTCTGATGTTTCACTCCGGTAAGGTATGACTACCAAAATACTTCAGAAAGGTTTTAACACCCATAAAGAAAGATTGACAGCAGAAGCTCTGCATATATGGGCGAACAAGAACAGCCTGAACCGAAAAGATGGTATTCAAATGGCAACTACCTGGCAAATTCCGTTTGACAAGTAAATTTGGAACCTATCTCTTGTTTAAACCTGTTTTTTAATATCACATGCATCGTTATTATTATCGAAAGAACTGAATGAGTTTCTAAACAATACAATTTATGTTTTGACATGCACATCTATCTTTCATTATCAAGTTTTTCATCCTTGAACTTGAACTTTATTTATTCTTTCATATCAATCTCTCACACATGCATACATACATACACACTCACACACATACGATTTGTTACTCAGTTAAGTATTTCCATGTAGTTGAATTCATCACATGATTTGTAGTCAACTGACTCATTTTATCCTATTTTACAAAAAATCAACACCCAAATATGATTGGTTTAACACAGTATAATCCTGATTGTTAAAAGCTATATATTTCTTTGATAATTTTGATTTTGATTATTACCCTGAAGAAGTCCAGACAAGTTAGCTGGACGAAACGTTGGAATTAGTTATATTTCAATCGCTGAGAATATTTCAAATATAATTTTCACATATAATGACTTCTCTATACTCGGCGCTCAATTACTGTCAAACTATTCGTTCTAATCTTGACGAATATTCGTATAAATAACTTTTCAACGTTTACAATCTCTCGCCAGTTTGTGGATATATTTGTTATACAAGTGACAGCATATCTCGGTAGCAATTTACTTCACTATCAAACTAATAATAAACTGGATTTCGAATAGGTTATTATTTATTTGTTTGTTTTCATAGTACTTCTTATCCTGCCGTTATTTGGTATGGTAAGAATTTCGTAATGCCCTGATCCATATTTAGCCAATTACCATCGATGTCATTGGATTGTAGATAAAGAATATGTTTATATTATTTTGTAACAGCTAGTAATAAAACCGAAAAAAATTGTTGCGTTCTACCTTGGACTCTGCAAATAATTATGTTTACAATTAAGTTATTACTTTGCTTAAATTATTTCCTATAAGTTAGTAAAGAGTTGATCAGTCAGTCACTTGCTACGTTGGATTTAGGACATATGTGAGTCAGTTAAAGCTACTATACCCCCTTAGCAAAGTAAGATCGAGTTATCAGGACAAAACCCAGAGTAGTAGAAGTAAAGTGATAATGTCTTTTTAATATCTTTCTATTTGTCTTAAACTGTTTTAAAAGACATCATAACTAAGACACTTTTCTATTCAAACTATGTCAAACCGATTTCAAAATCAGTTTAACATTTCCGAAAAGTGGCATTAATAATTATCATTCGTTACTGGATCACAATGGATGCGACAACTCAGTATAAAATACACCATTAACTCCCCACTTCGTGTAATATAACGTTCTGCGAAGTTTGATGTATCTCAGCTTCAAGAATTAGGTGTTTAGGATTGTCATAATTGTCTGTGTAATCCTTTAATTTTTAATGCATTAAAATTGCGATTCAATTTTATTATGTAACGTTTTGTTGACCAATGAACTTTAGTTGATTTTTTGAGATGGTGGAGAAAATTTGTAGCTCAGGTGGATGATTTTGGTGGAGTTTTGTTCTCTGAGCTGGATGGTTTGGTCGTGGAGCTTTCATCGTTCTTCTGAACGACATCATCAGCACAAACTTCAGATAGAAGTGAAGTGTTTGAATTCCTCCATATGTGTCTCAAAGCTTGTTCTGTGCACCTCGACGTTGATTGGTTCTTATTGACCTTAAATTTGTCGTTGTTTACTTCTTTGTTTTGGTTGTGTCTCCCATTGTTTTGATTTTTGTTCTTATGTTTATGCATGATTTTTCTGATTGGTTGATAAATTGGATTGATTTCAATATGCTTGTTGATTGCTGATTGACCTGAGTGCCAGGCTTCTAAAAATTCTCTAGTGTTTTTGGAGTTTCCTCTGTCTAAGATTTCCACATTTTTCCAATCGAATGAGTGTCCGCAGTTGTCCACGTGTATTGATATAAGTGAGGAGATATCATGCCGTTTGACTGCTAATTGATGTTCATGTAGGCGAAGGTGAAGGGGGCGTCCACTTTGTCCGATGTAGTGTTTTTCGAAGTTGGCACAATTTATCTTGTAGATGATGTTTGATTTGTTTTCCTTTGTTATTTCATCTTTTGGTTTGCATAAGATTGATTGTAGTGATTTTGTCGGTTTGTGTGCCACACCTATTCCGAAGGTTTTCGGCAGTCTCGTCGCGGTTTCTGATATTCCTTGTATATATGGTAGGGTGATACTTTTGTTGATTTTTGTGCTTGACTTGAGTTCTAATGCTGCGTGCGGTTGGTATTTTTTGATGAAGTTGATGGGGTAGCCGTTCTTCTGAAATACATCTTTTAGGTATTTCTCTTCATTTCTTCGTTCTGCCAGTGTGCTGCAGTGTGTCCTCGCCCTCTTGAACAAATTGTGTACGCAGTTGATTTTGTGAGCTCTGGGGTTGTTGCTATTGTAGTTGAGAATTTGATCCGTATGGGTCGGTTTCCTATATACTTGAGTTTCCAGTTTTCCTGTGTCGGTTCTAGTGATCAATATATCCAAGAATGCTAGTTGGTTGTTAGTCAAACAACCGCGACGAGACTGCCGAAAACCTTCGGAATAGGTGTGGCACACAAACCGACAAAATCACTACAATCAATCTTATGCAAACCAAAAGATGAAATAACAAAGGAAAACAAATCAAACATCATCTACAAGATAAATTGTGCCAACTTCGAAAAACACTACATCGGACAAAGTGGACGCCCCCTTCACCTTCGCCTACATGAACATCAATTAGCAGTCAAACGGCATGATATCTCCTCACTTATATCAATACACGTGGACAACTGCGGACACTCATTCGATTGGAAAAATGTGGAAATCTTAGACAGAGGAAACTCCAAAAACACTAGAGAATTTTTAGAAGCCTGGCACTCAGGTCAATCAGCAATCAACAAGCATATTGAAATCAATCCAATTTATCAACCAATCAGAAAAATCATGCATAAACATAAGAACAAAAATCAAAACAATGGGAGACACAACCAAAACAAAGAAGTAAACAACGACAAATTTAAGGTCAATAAGAACCAATCAACGTCGAGGTGCACAGAACAAGCTTTGAGACACATATGGAGGAATTCAAACACTTCACTTCTATCTGAAGTTTGTGCTGATGATGTCGTTCAGAAGAACGATGAAAGCTCCACGACCAAACCATCCAGCTCAGAGAACAAAACTCCACCAAAGTTTTTTTTTATTTCCTAAAAGACACCAATTAGTAAAGTTCGTTTGTTGTAATTGGCTGATATAAATATAGCAAGGGATTGGTAAATCTGACGACAATAACTTTCATTTAGGTTCCAATCACATCGAAGTTTGATCGAAAGCAAAATCATATGTATCTTAAAGAGAGTAAGAACGAAGATTAGTGCAGAATAATATGAATTCGTTTTGTTTCTTCAGGTTCTCATCAGCTGCTTACAACCTATAATATTTAAAGTCAACGTTATTACAGATATTGACATGCTTATAAATATGAGGGTGGTTAGAAATGAATATGTATATCATGATATAGCGAAATTGGAATCTTCACTTCTAGATCTTACACTAGATAAATCCAATGCTAACCATACAAACAAAGTGTCGAAGAGATGAAAAAAACTATAAAATGTCATCCTTGACCAAAAATTATTTAAAGGTTTGATTAATGCACGTCATGGGTTATGTAATCAACATTTGCCAATGAAAGGGATGTGGCAAACCTTGTGAACTACAATATAGCACAAAACACGTCGAATCGTGTGGATTACCGCAAATTGTCAATATATTAAGGGACTAAAAAGCTTTAACTTGCTATTTTTCTGTTAGCTGAAGCCATAAAACATCACAGTTATACAACTAAGCGTTTAAACGAGAGAAAAATGACTACTATCAATACTGTCAGTAAAATATTTACTCAGTAATAAAATTGGGGAAAAATTGTCGAGTAGACTGTTATACTATGTATATTGATCGATTAAGACCATCTGCTGGATCAAAAACTTGACACCATGATATTGCCTTCCTTGTAATGTTCGTTTTGTCATATGTATAAAATATACACATTTTTATTGGCACAATTTAGATTCGATTTTTTGTGAGGTAGATTAGTGGTGAGGTTATGCCTTACAATTTTAAAGCATTTCTTGCACGGTATTAACATTGTAAGATTATCTTGTGACACAAGTTCTTGGATTGTAGGATTACATCTGAAATATTTTTCAGCTCTAATAATCCATCTGTACTCTAATGATGCACTTTATTTTAAATTAAGATATTTCTATTCATGTATAATTTAGATTCAGAAAAAGAATATACCAAGTCTTTTGATCAATATGATAATTATCTTCCTAGTCCAAATCTTGAACCTCGAAAGAAACCGGTTACACTATCCCCATCTACTCCAAGACTTATATATCAAATACCTGACAAAGATATTCGTTCAGATGTTGAATTAATTTTAGCAGCTGTAAAGGTAAGTTAAAATAAAGCTTTGTAAGATTTGAAAGTGTAAACTTTTTGAAATGATACTTATAGATAATAGATTTGTAAACAAAGATAAGTGTTCGAAGTTTTCTGAGCCTTGGTATTTATTATTATCATGTATATAAATTCTTTTAATTGAAAAAAAATAAGATGTTGCTCGAAATATTTTAACTTGATGGTATACATGTCGCACTCATCTAATTGATCCATTCCGACCAGTCTTATTGATCAGTACTTTAAAGCGATTTCTATCTTATAGTCAGTTTTGTTGTATGATTTGGCTTTACGGAATCTAAGCTACAAGAAAACCCTTCAAATTTCAAAGATCCCAGTGTTAAGTACTTTACAAATCCCTGCGAAAACCTAATAACCTCTTAATGTTGTTCCGTCTTTTAATCAGTACAAATGCAAACTTTCGGTTGGTTAAGTGTGACTAAACTGGGTTAATTTCTTGGCAATTCGGTCTACGTATCTTGTTCAACCTAACCTTTCCTTTTATTATTTCCGTGGGTTAGAATAGTGTTCTTGTCAGCCCTTATAGTTGAAGTTCTAAACAGAACCAGATGTAAACACACATGGTTATCAATTGAACCTCTTGTTTATCTTTGAATTCCCTTGTACATTGATATCACTTGCTTAGGTTTTAACGTTTTTGTGTTTAATTTTCAGTAAAGAGCTTAACAGCTCTCTGTAGAGCCCACTCTCATGTTTTTTTAATAATTTTCTCTATGATGAATTGAAGTGTAGCAATTTAGACCGATTCATATTGAAACTAGCTTTGTGTTGCTTATTATTAGCTGACATTTGAGTTTTTAGTTTCTTATGTTTATCTTAAAAAAATACCACTTAATCTGAAAACAAGAAAGGTTCCGTCGCATCCCGCTCTTAGGCGTACAGTTGTCAAGAAATCTTGCCTATGGTACAGATAGAGCTTTTTCGTATGTCGAAGAGTAAGTACAGCGTACAGTCGTCTGTCCTTTCTTACTTGATGGATGTTAAATATCCCTTTCAGAGCAAGACGAAATCTAACTGATTTGGTTTAAAATAGGTCAATCCAACAACTTTTATTTTTAAATGCCATATTTCACAACCGAAAAGGAATAAAAATAGGCTATTGGTTATCATACTCACTCTTTACTAGAAGAATAAACATCTCATGTTCGCCAGCAATTGTGAAGGTTAACAAAAACTGAGTGGGTTTTATACTCATTATGAGTAGTCGTCAGCACTAACCCATCAACAAAAAATGGTTAGTAGTTCAGTCACACAACTTAAAATCAATGGGTTACGGGATTTACCCTGTTCCACCTACGTCACTCTAGAATCACTGGTAATCTTAATAACCCCCCACATAAATGGAATTACCGTAGTAAAAGTTCAAGAACTTGTAATTGGTTAATGAGTTATATTAGATTTAATCAAAAATTTAGTCAATTCACCAGGATCAATGAGAAAGCAATGAAGCGCGGTTGAACTCCACTGGTCACAATTTCTCACTAGAACTCCGCGAATTCCATTTTAAACGTAGTCTTTAGTGAGCTCATGATTTTAGGCTTCCAATAGTTGTCTAGCTTAGATCGCTTCGTGATCTCAATAATAGTCACATTTTTTGTTACCTTTCTGTTTACTCAAATCGCTCAGTAATACTAAGTTTTCTGTAACTTATTTGAATAATGTACCGCAAGTAGTTTTGTCTTATACTTAGTATATTTTATTTTGTTGATATCTTTTCCGATTTTTTGTATAGAAACATAAATTAGCCTTTGCTATGTCACAGCTCAAAAACGAAAAGATAAAGTAAATACCAACGCTTATGTAAAGATGTAAATACTTTTTATCTCTCAGTATATTTTTCTTTCTGTAAGTTATGTAGTTTATGATGTGTGTGTATAATAAAAAAAGACTCAAAATAAAATGAACAAGTTTATACATCAATTTTTTTTTCCTTTTATAAACATTATCTGGTTAACATTTAAGGGTGACTACTGCTCACCAGTCAATTGTTTATGAAAACAGCACAAAATGAACATTATTTGATTTGAATACTTTTGTTGTGAATCTGTTTCATTTTTTGTGTTGCTCGTCAGTCGTTTGACGCATAGCTGTTGTTACTATTGCGAATTATACCCACAACCGAGTAACTACTATTGATCATCGTTCATTATTTGCCTAAAAAGACTGTTTATAGTTGCGCAGGTCAATCCCATATAACTTTTAAAGTGGTCGTAGCTGACAAAGCAACTTATAGAAAGTTTATCAAAGCTACTTAGTAAGAACTTAAACAAAATAAAAATAACAGTACTTACAAAATACGATGAATTCATTGTACCTCGTCTGTTGTTCAGCTTATAAGTTTAGGTATTTCTAACTATTAACATTATGTTGAATTAGAAAGAGAGTTGTCAATCAACAACAAATAAGTTATTTGCAATGTAGAAGAAGTTAAAAATCGAAGTTTTACTAGGGTTTTCGGTGATAGTTGTAGAATATTCAAGATGGTTTTATTAGGAAATATGAAGGGAGTTTAGAAATAAGAAACATGATGTGTGAATTAAATTCACTAGATTGTTTGTATAAAGAACAAAATCGTGACAATAACATGAATCTAATCATTTCGTGGGTTCGTAGCTGCTTAAAACCTGAAAACAATAGTACTACTCATTAAAAACGAAACAAGTACACAAACTTTATATTGGAAATTGCTTAAATAAAATTGTTTAACATGTAATACAATAATTGTGGAAGAACTAAGATTTAATCAAACGTTTGTCTATTTGCAGTTTCAATGTATAATATTCGAGAAGAGCATGACGACAGAATTTTTTCTAGAAACTCAAGATTTATGCTATAGCTCATGTAGTATTTATAAAGTATAAATTAGCTAAGTCTCAGAAGTAAGACAGAGAATATTAGGGATTGTAATTAAGGTCACGGGAAAGAATCCTACGTAACAATCTCATAAAAACGATGACAGCAAAGGAAAACAATGATGACTGTTTCTTTTTGGACGCATAAATTCAGTTTAAATCGTTTTATTGCTAAAACACGAAGTTTAGGGAAGAGATCTCTTTCCAACGAATTTATCTTCAAGCTATACCATCCTATATATACATATAATTTCAACCCTTTCTGAAGTTTGATTACAGCACTGTCATTTTTCTTCCATTCATAAGTGACTGATTTCAATTCATATCTTTCTTTATTACCATTAATCTAATATTCGTTGCTTCATTATACAATCATTTAATATTTATTAACTCAATGAATTATAGTCAGTATTTCAATGTTCTGGAACTTTCCCTCTCAAACTTTATTTATCTGAAACAAAATATTTTATTCTTTTAAAGATCCCCATCATATTAAAAGACTAATTTTCTATGACCTTATTAACTTTATCGGAATATTCGCTACATCATGATACACATATTCATCTCTAATCACCCTTGTATGTATAAGTATGTCAGTATCTGTAATAACGTTGATTTTAAATATTATAGGTTGTAAGCAGCTGATGAGAACCTGACGAAATAAAATGAATCCATATTATCTTCGTTCTTGTTCGCTTTAAGTATATGTATATGAAATTTTTTATGTTGAAGTATTAGTTTCATGAGGATGTATGAACAAGAAATGACCGTGATAATACAGTCGAAAGGTTATAACACTAGGTTACGCAATATGAATAATAACAATGGACTTAATAAGCTAGTAAAGAACTGTAATGTGAATGAGGTAAAATGTTTTGTCACAATAATTAGAGGTAATAGATGTACAAAAATAAATGAATTGATATCATGAGCAATTATGAATAAAATCATGAGAATCTGAGACATAAGTAAGGGGAGAAATGCAATAATAATTATTATGTTTTTTATTGTCAAAAAGGCAATTATATGTCGATTAAAGCGTAATACGCTGGAAGTTCCTTGTTTATTGATTATTTTGAAGGGTCTTGAATTATTAACATTATTTTCACTCTTGGGAATTTGTCCGTTTAGCCGTCAATTTGGGGGATATGTTCGAATATGCAGACACTAACTCTCCATTCTGTCCTTCCCATAGATACACTCTGGTACGTTCATGTAAACTGATGAACGTAATTAGAGGTAACATAAGTTGCGAATTTGTTCACATTTGATTTTCCCAATAAGAAATTCGTTCAGTATAAAATCCAGTTTGATATACACCAATGGAGACTAATCAGATTCGTCCTTCAGTAAGGAAAATAGTTCAGTTACATTGAATTGGAGAGAAAAAGTTCAAAACATTTGGTTCGCTTCCGGTTTATTTATTTAAACGCATAAACATCGGTACAAGAAATTCCCAAATATATATACTCCACACGAACTATTTGATTTGTCTGAGGGCTAGAATGCTGCTCGGGCGATTCTGGTTACCAAAGCAGTTCCAAAACCACGTCCAGCTGTTTGAGCATAAAGGTCGGCTCTAAAACTTCTTAATTGTCATGCCCCCCGCGAATATTGATAAAGTACAATTGCACTACAAATACTGTCATCCTCTTTTTCATCTACATTTGTAGACGACGACCTAAAAGCAGCATTTGACTCTGTAGACCGCGAGATTCTGTGGCAGTGTCTGTCATTGAAAGGCGTACCCCAGAAGTACACAAACCTTGTGAAGGCATTTTACTCGAACACCACTAGTCGAATCAGAGCTTATGGTCAACGGTCATCTGATTTTGCAACCTCAAGTGGTATCCGTCAAGGCTGTCCACTATCTCCATTTTTGATCAACTTCATCATAGACATACTGGTGGAAATAACGCTCTCGTCGACTAAATTCTCATGCATTGATCCCTACCAGGAGGTCCACTTATCGAATAAGAATACGCAGATGATATAGTCATGTTTCGTGAAGACGCTGATAAAATGCAGTCTTCTAGTGGCTCTGAGCAACAATACTAGAATGTTTGGGGTGCGCTTCTCTCCTTCTAAATGCAAATTGTTGCTCCAGGACTGGCCTGCATCAACACCTAAACTAAAGATAGGGAGTGAAGTAGTCGAACGCGTTGACAACCTCACTTACCTTGGAAGTCTGATCAGCCATAATGGGTTCGTGTCCGACGAAATCTCAGGACGGATTTGAAAAGCTCCCTCGGCTTTTTTGCCAACATACGTCACCTACGGCGAATGCGAGATATCCGTCTATCAATTAAGGGACAAGTATACTGCGCGACAGTTCGTTCTATTCTGCTTTACGGCTGCGAAAAGTGACCATTAAGAGTTGAAGATACTCGTAAGTTACTAGTATTTAACCACAGATGCCTTAGAAATATTGCTCGCATCTGCGGGGATCACCGGGTAAGTAATAGTGAAGCTAGACGCAGGGTATTAGGGAGTGATGGTAAATCAGTTGACGAGGTTGTGAATCTTCATCGACTGAGATGGTTGGGTTATGTATGCATGAACACTGATTACCACGACGCGCATGCTGACTAGTGTAGGGGCGGCCAAACCAAAGCATGGCATCAGTGCTTGAAGTCACTAACTTCTAGTCTTAGTCATGTCTGTAGATGCAGACTACTTGGTTGGGGTCCGTGTGACTATCGTAACCAATGGTTGGAGACTCTTGGTGACATGGCTGAGAATGGATCACAATAGTGTAAGTGTATACACTCTTTGTCCTCTCTTAAACTGTGAGATTAAAATTGCTTTATATCTTTTTTTCTACCAACTAACTCTTTCTTCCTGTACTATATCCTTATATGCAATCTTTTTTTTATATATTACCACCACTGAATTTACTACTTCTATGAATCCAGTGTTCATCTTGATGTGCTAATGAGGTATGGCAACGTGGACCGATGCACATATGTGCCTCACCTTAGGTTGTTGCTGACTGACTGTAGAGGCAAGCAAGTACATTGAACTACTAAAGATTGTTTTAGGTTTTACTATTTGCCAATGAAGTACTTAGAGTCGACTAGAGCAGCTTTACTACTCTAGAATATATTACAAATATGTTCAAAATTCCTAATCATTGGTAGGCTATGAATGACTTTAGGATTTTACCTTATGAAAGACTAAATATTACTCAATATGATTTAAGGCTTTCTCCGTAGATCATTTAAAAGCTAGTAAAGATTTTAAACCGAAAGGAGATATTCTTGATAGTATGCACATCACGAACGGACCACTTTCTAAGCTAAAAGTTGTGTAAATAATTTTCCAACACACTATTAAGTGTAATTTGATCTTGCCTACGCCGCGATACTGTATCTGGTGAAACCAGTAACCTACACTGAATTCATCTTCTCCCGACCCTCCAATTAAAACACCAGCTGATTATCCTGTTTTAGACTGAGTCAAGCACTTGAATCTGTTCAGATACTAGTAATACTATCTAACTACCAACGAAATTTGGGGTTTCGAACCTACAACCTAGTGCTTGAGTTGAGCATTATTAACCACCATTGTGATATTCAATTATAAAGTAGCTCACTTCTTTTAGCACTCTTACTCCAATAATAAGTGATTTTTGCCTCTCTATAACAAAAGAGCACATTGTTCTCACCATATTATTGTTGATAAATATCCGTTAAGTTGTCGCTGACTACGCGTTAGTATGGTAAAGCAGTCTTTGAAGTTTTTTTTAACAATACACAGGACTTCTCCATTGCATGAGTTTAGGGTTCTTTTGGTACAGTTTTGTTTTGTATGTCAGTTGTTTACCTTTAGGTTCAACATATATGGGGCGGTGGCTTAGTGATTAACAGACCCTGCTCACAACTAGTAGGTTTTGTATTCAACTCTACTTTAATTTGTGTAGACGTATAATATTTATAACCTTCATACCTAAGGCATGACTAGACCGAGTACGAAATCTGTGCCTGACAAATGATTCTTTAAAAAGATATAGATAAAATGTCCCACAAGTTTTATTTATCTGATGAATGAACATGTAAAACCGAAGTTAGACTACTAAGTTAGCAAGTCAAGTGCAACTAGTTTAACGGTAACAGGTTCATCATGATTCTGTGAACGAAGTAAATTGTGCGATTTACCAATGGCATGTGCTTTTTCCTGGTTCAAAATAACTGAATACAGTGAATATATAATTTACTCTATAAATTTAGAATAAATAACTGCAAGTGCTCAGTTTTCATTATAAAAATATAAAATCAGTATATAAGGAAGTCTTCTCGGCCTATGTAAGATACAGCAAAATCTGCGCCATTTGCAGTTGGTTCGGAAAAAGCTGCTTGTGTACGAGAGAGTGGTAAACCATATATTAAGTTTTGTAGCACAGCATCTAATAAACTTGTGGCTATTCCCTTCCGACGATATTTACGTTCTACCCATATTCGCCGAATGCCACAAATTGGTCCGTCAATGTTTACACAAGAGAGGCCGGGATTTGAGGAAATTAAATCACATTGATCGCCATTTCGGTCGACACTCTGAATACTCCAAGATAAGAGACTTTTCCGTCCACCAATCAGTCTGTTCAGTTTGTAACCCTTTTCTGATATCTTCTTTGCAGTTAGTTCCTCAACAATGCAACAACCCACGACTAATTGTGTTCGATCCTTTACGTAGACGAAAACACGCCAGTCGGGATGTAAGGTATTAGACAACTTAACATGATGGGGGTTACTGTCTTCTGATGGTAGATCGTAACCAAGGTCAAGGCTTATCAGTGTTGATATTCGTTCGTAAAAGGATTTTCCAAGTCGAAGAGTAGTAAGTATTTCCGTCACTCGAGAACCATCGAAATTTTCCATGATGATATTTTCATGGCGTCCTCTTGGTAGCTAAAAGAAACCATACAAAAAAGTTAGATTGTATGCTGCTAGTATCAACAATTAATTACTTTTTACACTAAGCTATCGCTTTTCCTTGATCACTGAAAATCTGGAGAAACAAGTGTCATATATTTCTTGAAAATAAGATAAAGTAAAAGGTCAACGACCTTAGTATATTATCCATCAACAACATAGTTCGTTTTGAAAATTAGACATTGTTTTAGATCACCTTGGTCCAGTCTGTATGTTTCTGGACTTTTTCCTTTATAATAGTGTACGATATACTTAGACAAACAAGGAAAATATGAAAATGGTCAAGATTTCACTGATAAAAGGTGAGTTATTCTACCTCAGACCTCCAATGAATAGTTTCTGTTGACGTAAGATTTCTAATCCAGATGTCTGGTACTCATCATACGATTTAAACCAACAGTGAGTGGTGCTACAGATGGCTCTCACGTCTCGATCTAATTATCATCGGGATTTTCAAATAGATTTCACAGCCAGTACTGCATAATGAGATGGATTTTAGCTTAAATGAAGTGTTTTAATGGTGGTGTAGTTTGTGAGTTTGGTGGTTTAATCTTGAAGTTTTTATTGTTTATCACTGTATAAGCACCAACTGGTGCTGATGACGTACTCGAATCTATATGGAAACTAATTTTTAGTATGTAACAGCTCTTGGACTTCAGCTAGTGAACTTAATATTTCAGAAACATACCAATTTACTCCTAGACTGTGGCTTGACGGACAAATTTTCTGTCATTTACTTTAGATAGACAACAGACGTTTCATATAAAAGACCAGTTTTGATTTCTTACACTCGTAGGTAAGGAACCAAAGGTCATATTCTATTCATGTAACTCACTTTTGGATACGGTCTTATACTTAACGACTGAAGAATAGATAATATATTTTCATTTCCTAATCAGAGGCTGAGCGAAGCTAGTGAAAGTTAAACAAAATATTTCGATATCAAACTGACTAAAAATCCTTTGTCGAGTTACAAGCGTCAGATTAGCTAAAAATGCACATCCGATATCTGACTGCTGAGTTAGTTATGTTTATTGACAGCCATTTTGCAACGTAACAAATCAACGATTATGGAACTCTGGATAGTACAGAATGACGAGCACATATTCGATAGGCTTCATTGTAATCGCGCTTGCTTTTCTTGATAATTTGGATTACGTAGGCCGACCCTCACTGATCTTTGGTTACCTGCTGGATGGTGGAAGTTATATTTATTTATTTAAACACATAAACATTGGTACAAGGAGGCACCGAATACATATGCGCCACACAAATCGAATGATTTATGTGAGGGCTAGGATACTGCTCGGGCGCACAAACCGAAGCATGTGAATGGTGGATTGGCTAAAAATACAAACCGAGATGTTGGAAAAAGGGAAGCTTATTCCTGTGGAACATTAGGATAAATTATACTTGAACTAAACGAAGTGACTCTGTTTTCATAACAGCGTGCCTGTTCAATACTTTCTTCGACTAGTGTTTCGTGTTGTGTTCGGAGACGTAATTTGTAGCAATCAATACATAGAAGTATGACAACACATGAGATTAACATCCAGCTGGAATCTCGGACGCGTCAGTTTCCATGATAAGTAGGTTACTTGGGTCTAACAGCTGAGGCTCCTTTAGTTTTAAGAAAAGCCTTTATAGGCTTAGATCGACACTACTTATCACTCCCTAAGACGCCTTTGAAAAACTAGAGAACGAAAGGTAGAGAACAGTAAGGTGTTCAAAAATGAAAGTAAGGAGAAGAATGAATGTATTTGATATGATGGAAAAAGGCCTTGGTTGGATTGTCCCCAATCACCTACGATATTTAGTTGTGCGATTTTCATGTTGATGGTATATAAACATGTTACTAATCGGACGAATTATGTTCTACTAGCCAGCCATCTTAATATTTATACAACTGGGGGCTCATGTCTATAGTTTTGTCTCATGGGCAGCTATCATTTAGCCATGTCATATAGTTGTATTTTATCTATCGATCAGAATTCTGTTCATTCGTTTTAACAATCCAAAATCCGTCCGCATCATGAAACTTCGCCCTCTTGACAGCATTGTGCCACATCAGTCGATTTCGGGTTATATTTTCTATTCCTTATTGTTATTTTGATTAGCATCAGAGAACTTCGTAATATCTGATGACGTTCAGACCAACAGTCGACGATATCATGCACTGATTTCATGATTTGATCTGAATGCTACTAGTTTGTTTTACCTTAGTCCTATAAGATTCGAATAAATTGTGTAAAACCCATATTGCGGCATCCAACTAACTATCAGGCAACAGGCAAAAACTTTTATCTTCAAAAGTTTGAAAAGCTAGGTCGTGTTATCTTTTTATAAAAGATATGGCGTATAATCTACTGTACAGACCAGTGAGTCATTCTTGATTATTTAGTTACATATTATAGTGAACTCACGGAGAAAACGACACCATCTACTACACAGTAATTTATCTATGTCAATTATATGATATCTTACCCGGACGGTTGGAAATAATTTTATTTGGTGATACTCTTTATGAGCTTTGATATCTTCTTTATCGCCAACTGTGTATACCATATGGCATTGACGGCACCTAGTGCTGCCAATCTCCTTCTGTCCGCAATCGAGAGTCAGCTGGATCTTCTTCTCTTGACTGAAAAATCTCATTACACGATTAAATTATCGTGCAAATGATTAAACACTGAAAAATGAAATAGACGATTTAATTCTGAGAAAGGGTAGTAAGCACGTTAAAGCTTAATGCTCACGTTGAAAAAAGCAAAAGAATATTTGTGATTTGGCACATGTGTACATCAGTTGCTACACTCCATTAGCACGCGGTGATACTTGGTGTGTTACTAACTGTAACCATAGTTTTTATGGGCACTATGACCTTGTCTGGGTGCCTAAACAAGAGCTGGTAGTAAATAGAGAAAGCTTCTCTAATCTAAAAGCTAGTGGAGTTACGTCTGGATAACAATCTGCATGATATTCAGTGGTTTGTGTAGGTCCAAAAGTCATTAACGTTTTCAGGATCTTGGGGCTTACTATCATCAATGATTAGTGTTCTTAGAATACTTCGATGAACCACAACCGTTCACTTTAATGGGAATCTTGTTAGAATATAAAGACAATGAAGATTATAGTGGTGGAGGCTGTGAATGTATACTTAGGATGAAGCATTTCAAACAGGGATTTGTGAATCGCATTGTACCAAGGAATCTGGAGTCACTCATGTGAAAACTATTTGCCATTGTTACGAAAAATGCAGCCGCTTTAGCACCTTTGACTCAGTTACTAAGCTGTACTAAATGGTAATGTCGCAGAGGGATAATTATATTTGACAGGATGAAAATGTTAATAATGATCTTGGAAAGACACGAATTTTTCAGAAATAGAGAGCTCAGTGGTTATTAAGTACTGGACGTGAGGGATGTACTAGAAGAACCCGTGTCAATAACACCATCCTTAATGGACTCGGTGTGACGCTGCATGAGGAATAGGTATTCTTCTGTTTTATGTATAATTGACAAACTTTTACACTTGGCACTCCATACTCGAAGATCCTCTAGAAATTTGTCGTGGACCATTTAGATGGGCATATATCATCCTAATATTAGAATAGGATAGATATTTTCATATGAAGAGATCTTAATTTGTACCGTAATGAGAAACTCGAACAGCTCCCTGGAATCTCCCTAGGAGGAAATACCCTCATGAGATGCGCATAAATTCTCACCTCAACAATCTTTACCTGTAACTGCCCAACTATAAGTAGCGACTCAACCAATCAATAAATTTTTAATCGAAGGACGTTGTTAATGCTACAGTACTATTACCAAGTGGTATGTGTAGCGACATATCTTAGAAATGAGGAGGAAAATAAGTAGAATTGTGCGAAAATATTTACTAAGAGAGTAATTTTTTCAAAAGAGTATTTACTCAATTACTTCGGTACAGTAAACTGGCATAAAACTCATAAACACCGCATTCTTAAAATTTAGGGGTTTACGTTCTTCGACATTTAGTAATATAACAAAGCAAATGGTCTGAATTTTTTTTAAAAAGTGTTTTTTTACTTGAAAATAGGTATAATTAAAGCATATAAATAAACTGAAATGATTCATGTGCGAAATTTGTTCTTGGTTCATAGTTCAAATGTATCCAACCGGAATAGAAGAAGCCTTCGCATAACGGGCTTTTGTATCTAGTAGCCTCATAGTGAGAACCCATTCATGTCAACGATGAAAGAGGAAAATTCAAAAAATGGTAAATCATAGCAATATATTGTCCTTAGTCCTTAAGAACATGTCAGGTTTTCTCTTAAAGTAATCCTGGGAGGTTGCTTGTACTAACTCAGACGGCAGCGAATTCCAACATTTGACTACTCTTGTGGAGAAGGTGCGACTACGGTCCGTTATTCTGTGTTGTATCTCACTTTCTGGGTGTTACCACTAAGGTTTGTGTTGGGGCTAAGCCTAAGTAGGTGTGTAAGGGGATGTGCAGAAGCGTTGAGGATGTTGTAGGTCACAACAAGGCCACCTTTAAGTCGATGTTAGCTGGGAATGAAAATCCTAATAATTCATGTATATAAATTTTTTATTCGCAATGCATGAAGCTGGAGTAGTCGTCGCTTACAAATAATTTTTGTCTATGAAATCCTTTGTGTACATTATGCTAAAGAGTTTTTAAGACATCTCAGAAACACATCGTGGTTATAAACCAGTTCAAATAATTCAGAACATGTAATTACATATGGAGGTGAGCATACGATACGAAACTATAGTACACATTTTAAAAAATATATGAATATTGCATATTTGCGCACATAAGTAGACATGTTCGCATGTGATTATGAGAAAATTTATAAGTGTGTAAAAGAGATACTTTCATAACGTGAATGCGGAGGCAGTGAAATAGTATATTCACATGAATAGTTCTGATTAATATGAAAACAGTGTGATAAACAGTCTATAATTTATGAGTATAACAACGTAATATATCGTTGGAATAAATAGGGCTGAATAATAATTTGAATTTTGTGCAAGGGCAACAAAATAAAAGAATAGCGAATATGTATTGACGTGTTTCAGAGCCTCCTGAATCAAATGAACGGAAGCTCCTGCGAAAGCAAGATTCGTAAACTGTAAAACTAAGAGGCTGCGGATATATGACTGATGTTTATCTGAAATTCTCGTCGAACATGAAGGGTGGCGATTTCTGGGTGCAAGTGTAATAAGTGATCATAAGATGAATATCAAGAACAAAGTTTGCTACTTCCATGAATATGACTTCAAACTTATGTCCACGTCAGCATTGCTAACTGTTTCCAGCCCTTGAATAGTTTAAATCATGTTATCATCAGGAGTTAGAAAGTTCGCTTAGGAAAGGCTTACTTTAGGAAGACGTACAATTCATGTTTAGAAACGCTTCGCTAAACAGCCATTTTATTAAGCAGATGACAAGTTACTCGGTGTGATAACAAATGCGTTGTGAACGCCAGATACGATGTGAAAAATACTACCACAAACAGACGATTGTGAATAATTATGATCCTATTGAACCTTTGTTTTGATAGATGGCCCAGACGTAATAAAAACAGTCTGTCTTACTAAGATCGACGGCCTTTCAGGCGTATAACAAAGTTCTAAATCGGAGGAAAAAATGCGTCTGCTATGCAATAACACTAAAGGGACTCTGGATGGGTGAATGAGAATGCACGAATATGGAGCGAAATGAAAAGTGATAATAAAACGCACTCGCTTAATAGGGGAGAAATTTTATGTTATGAAGTTAATGCTATAACTTTTGGGTCGAAAAGCCTAGCCCACCAATTCTGCACCTACTGTCTGACTGTCATTTGGTTGAACGTCGGTGATAAAAATAAAATACATATCACACCTGATTTTGTATATATTTGTCAATTTAATTCACTTTAGTGAATAATGGTATAAAGTAAGTGAAACACGACAAAGATTCTCAATACGTTCACTTCATATATCCGAGGACAGTTAAAAAGACAGGTTCATTTAAAACCGCTCGTCATTTCGTTCCAATAGTCTTAAACAACCCAGCATGAGGCGGTCATTCCACATTTCAGTTGTTATAAGTTTATTGGGTGTCCGTTAGGTTGCATGAATTTTCTGTGTTCTCATATTTAAGTAATCTTTTTCTGCAATAAAACCACAAAATCATTGAGAAGAACAATCATTTACCTATCTCTGTTTTGTAGTTTAAACGTTGGCTCGATTATTGCCTCTTAACTTGATCTGGGATACCAATCACTCCACTGAACATCACCGCCTTTGCCTAAAGCCTTATAAGATTCAGAAGGCAGCGCAATAAACATTTTTAAACAGATATAGATACACGAACTTTTGTTAGATTGCTATTTTACGCAGAGTTTGGGACGAAATGTCAAATAACCGTTAAATTTTAAGATTACACCCTAAATGTCCTTAATAATTCCGGCAGTTATTAAAGTATTATAGCATGTATTATTCGCTTGTTTTGTTTTGTAATTACTCAGTACTGTTTGTAGTGCTTCATGTTCAAGAAATATCTCAGCCAGTCGTCTCAACTTATAATACTAATCAAGTGTTTCGGAAGTTGTACTGAATTCCATAGTGTGCTTAACAGATTCTATAAAGTAGGTAATAGTAATTTTATCCCTTCTCAGACTCCCCATTTCCATTACATCCATGTCGAAAAACGTGAGGTTCAAATACATGTTTGTGACATTTCAGTGCACATTTGGTCGTAAGCGTAAACCAAAAGGTCAAGCAGTGAATCGAAAGCCGTGAGACCTTTAAATAACATGTGATGTTTATACTTTACGTTTCTGAATTGCCAGTCAAAGTATCATGTAACTTTGGACAGTGAAGAATATGTTATAAAATCATTCGACATGCTTCACAATCATCCTTGTAGTAGCCCATTGATGGTTTGTAACTCATGAAACAGAACACTGTCCTCACAAGATGAAGAATGTTTTGGGTCGATGACGCTGCAATCGTCAATGGATGAAGTAGTAGAAGGTATTAGGGATCAACCAGCTAAGACGGTCACTGCTGCTGATGTGAAGACTAAGATAGCTCAGATCTTCACAGGTGAATGTATATAAGTACAATTCAGGTTGTTCCATAATAACAAAGTAATTTCATTCACCAGGCAAATTAAACAGTATGTACGAATCCAACGAATCCGAAAAGTGCGCAAACAACAGATTCTTTGAAAATATGGTGAGCGCCTCGCAATGCTAGTGGAGAGAAAAGTCAACAATTTTTACCTAAGAAAAACCAATAGGCTAGACTCTAGCTTCTTTAATCTTTATCATTGTATCGTCTTCTTTATAATTAAAAACATTGTTCGGACTATGCTGAAGTGTGGAGAGGTGATAGGAACTGTCTACTATGAGAAGTTCTTTATGACTGATTTTTAGCTTAACTATATATACTACTTGTAAAATTATTTTTCTGCGTCAGATGTTATTCTTGCTATACCATTGGTAACAATGCACCAATAAACTTTTGCCCAATTTCCATTTTCGTCTTTGTAGTTTCGTGGGGAGGTACATCGATAATCTTAACGGGTAACTGTTTGTCGACATTAGAAACAACTAGATGTGCCTTATAACTACCCGTTTGGATATGAAAACTTGTAGCACTGCATCAGTTTGGAAGTTACGCCAAGACATTGATTTGTATATATATATATATATTTCTTCACTATGATAGCATATTAGAATGAATACCAGGAGGATTTATGGTTCAAACGAATACGAACTTTCGCCAAACAATCACGAGATCTGAAACGCTACGAATGTAAATACCGCGTACAGTTGTTATAGATAAATTCGAATATTTCATTAGATGAATAAACGCGACAGTAGGCAAGACGGAATACAGTTATCCCCAACTTGTAAATTGCTTGTCCAAGTAACTTTCCATATCCAGAAATTCGTTAGATTGTTGGCCGGTATATACTAAATTATTAGGACGGTTTGAGCCTTTCAGTCAGTTGGCAAAATCCATAATCTGGATATCAGGAAACGTATCAGTAGGTTCCCAACTTAATGCATTTTCGAAAAACAACGAAACAAAGAGTTTAATTCTGTTATGAGTATCACTTTCGATAAGTAAATGGGATAAAAGCTCAGAGAATGTAATTATAAGTGTCTTACTTGTTGTAAACAAAGTTCTTTATTTTCTAACCATCCTAGAGTTTCATCTAGGTACTCAGCATTTGCAAAGGAAAAACAGGCTTTAAATAAAAGGAATCAGAAACTTCAAATAGTACTATGAGATTTGAGAAAGATTTGATTCGAAACCTTATAACACCATCAGCAATTCACAGTTAACATACAATAGCTGCATCATTGGAAAGCAATATTTAGATATTACTCGACAATATGCGTGTGGTCTTTGTCTATAATTTGGTCAGTGATTGCGGATTCTGTCTACAGAAATCCGCTAGCGTTCTCTATAACAGATACATCACAAATTGGTGTTCACTAAAAACGTAGTTGATTTATCATGCCTGAAACAAACATCGTTATACTTATGAAGAATACTTCACGAATTATTATAATACTCATAGTGATGTTATATACAGTTCCTGTATATGCTCAGAAAGCGGGAAGAAAAGGTTATTAGTGTCAATTATTACTCATAATTTTTCGTCATCGGATATGTTATGTATCTGTAGAACTATGGTCTACTATGATATTAGTACTGCTCGAATAATAGATCTAATCCTAAAATTGTAGATTTGTCATGATATAACTGCCTAATCTATAAGATCTTACGTGGAAGTTACATCATCGTCTACACCAACTCATTGCATCATAACAATTACCAATACATGATGGAGAACAAGCTTAGGCTAGAGATAGGACAATATATTTGATATGGTTAAAAGATATAAGATAACGCGGACCACGCCTGCATAGACGAGCCATGCCATTCAATCAACCCCAAGTCATTCAACTCATTCTTCCCG